GGGCGGGGCCGCGGTGCTCACGGCCTCTCTCCCCTCGCAGAGCAGAACTACTGTGAGTCCCGGTACCACTTCCTGCACTCGGCGGACGGCGAAGGCTGCGCCAACATGCTGGTGGAGTACTCTACCTCCCGGGGCTTCCGCAGCGAGGTGGACATGTTCGTGGCTCAGGCCGTCCTCCAGTAGGTACCCGTGGCCGCGTGGTCACCTGGCCGAGACGTGCGGGGGCATGAGCTGGAGTCACCGAGGCGTGCACACGCAGCCCGCACGTCACCTGCCCGCTGTGGCCCTGGGCTCATGGCCACTGCGATTCGGGGACATTGTGACATCCCAGCCGGGCGGTGGGAACTAGGTCTTCGTGAGCGCAGCCTTCTTCACTGCCGTCGGGGTTTGCCCCCGCCCCCCATCCTCACATTCACGTCGGGTCCCAGTGTCACCACAGTTTTGTCATGGGACGTGGATTTAGGGAGTTTTCAGCAAGTCCTGGCAGAGCAACGGGCTTTCACGGGCTGTTTGTCCAGGGCTGTGCTGGCCTTTGCAGGTGCTTCCTGCGTCTGAACATCTCACCGTGAGGCGCTGTCACCAGCTCCCCGTTTCCACGGGGTCCTGCTCCAGTCAGACCTCCTCATCCTTTGTTTTCACCAGCAGTTTATCTTGAAACCACGGGGACATGAGCAGAGGGCAAGGCCCAGGCCCCTATGGCCCTGCTGTCCCCGAGCTTCAGCCTGTCCCCTTCCTAATGGAGGCGCTTCACGTGGGAGAAGCTGCTCTGCTGGGGTGGCCAGTGCAGGGCAGGGTGTGTCTGTGAACTGAAGAGGTGGGTCACGGACGCCTGCGGATCCCCAGCACCCCTGAGCTTCCGAGCTGGACGTGTCTTAATGGCCAGCACTCACTGCCCCTGGCTCTGTGGCCTTTGGCACAGACGTTTTCTCTGGACTGAGCGTGGTTAACATCTTTGTCATGGGTCCCTCTGTGCCTTCGAGTAGGCTGAACGAGGCCCACACGTTAGCCAAGTTCAGCAGTGCGGATGGCCTCGGGGCGGGAACCAGGTCCTGCCCAGCGCTAGCCCAGGCCGGCTGTGTGATCAGGGACCACCCCACTCCATGCCCGTGTGGGCCTCGGACGCGTCACCCTCCCAGGCTGACTGCGCCTGGGGGCCGTGGGGCCCGCCTTGCTGCAGTCCCTGGGCCGTTGGGTGCGGGGCCAGGCGCCAGGCCCTCGACAGCTGCGTGTCCTCCGGCTGTGGCACGTGTGGGCGCGTGGCCCGGGAAAGGGCGTCACAGGCTCGCACGCGTGCCGGCCACTGACAACGGGCTTTCTGTGTTCCCGCTGACGGGGCGCCCCCCCCCCCAGGTTTCTCTGTCTGAAAAACAAAAGCAGTGCATCGGTGGTGTTCACCACGTACACGCAGAAGCACCCGTCCATCGAGGGCGGGCCCCCGTTCGTGCAGCCGCTGCTCAACTTCCTCTGGTTCCTGCTGCTGGTCGTGGACGGGTGAGTGTGCGCGCGTGGGGGGCCCGCGCGTGTGCGTGGGGCGTGGGCTGCAGCGGCGGTGAGCGGCGTCCCCTCCCGTGCCCCGTTTCCCGTTTCAGGGGCAAGCTGACGGTGTTCACGGTGCTGTGCGAGCAGTATCAGCCGTCGCTGCGGCCAAAAACTCATTCAGTAAGCATTGATTGTGTTCATAAACACTGTATTACATATGATAGAAGTAATACAAAAATTAGCATATATTATTATCTAGGTTTCCTAAAATAAATAGCATCGCCCGCCCCAGTACCTCGACAGGATCGGCCAGCTGTTCTTCGGCGTGACACCCAAGCAGACGTCGTCGTACGGGGGCTTGCTCGGTAAGGGCCACGTGCACCCCCGGGCCCCCCCAGACCAGCCCCGCTCTCAGGCCCTGCTGCACCCGCGGCCACCACCTCAGAGCCCCTCCCAGCACGAGGCCAGCTCGCCGTCTTTGCACCTTTCGTTGTGGTCACGTACACGTGACATAACGCTTGCCGTCTCAGCCATTTCCAAGCGTCCAGTTCAAGGGCCTTAAGCACATTCTTGTGCAGCTGTCACTACTGTCCCATTTTCCCAAACCGACACTCCATCCCTGGCCCCGGGCACCTTGCCTCCCACCCTGTCTCTGTGACCCTCCCTCCTCGGGGGGACCTCGCGTGTCTGGAACGACACAGGACACGTCCTTTTGAGCCTGGCTGTCGTTACTCAGCGCACTGTCCTCAGGGTTGATCCACGCCGTTCTGTGTGTTGGTTTCTCTTTTACGGCTGAGTGACACTCACGTGGATGCCTGCATGTGGCCGGGCAGCCACTCGCCCATGGACACGGGTTGCTCCCATGTCCTGGCCACTGGGGGTGGTGCTGCTGGGAGCGTGGGCGTCACATGCCTCTCGGAGACCCTCCTTCCGCCCCTCCCGGGCATAGCCCCGGCAGTGGGCTCCTGGGGCCGGTGGGGATTGCACGTGACGACCCCGTCTCAGTACAGGGCCCTCCACACCGTCCCCAGCGGCCGCACTGCTCACCCCGTGCCGGCCCTGCAGCGCCCACCGCTCCACGCCCTCACCCGTCTCGTGGTCTCTGCTGGGTGCACAGTGGGGCCCCCTGTGGTCTCAACCCCGATTCCTTGGTATCAGTGACGTTGAGTGTTCTGTCACCTGCTCCTTGGCCACTTGTGTATCTGTACATCTGTTCAAATCACTTCCTTATTTTTGAATCAGGTATTTTGGGAGTTCTGTGTTTTCTAGATGCTGCTCCCTTCAGATACGTAATTTGCAGATGTTTTTTCTGTCCTGTGGGGTGCCTTTTTTTTCCTCTTGAGAGTACTTTTTAGAGCAGTTTTAGGTTCACAGCAAAATGAGGAGGAAGGGGCGGAGGGTCCCAGGTGCTCCTTCCCCACACGCACGGCTCCTGGTGCAGCACCCCCGAGGGCTGTTACCGCTGAACCCACGTTTCACAGCGTCACTTACCCAGAGTCCACAGGTGACATCAGGGTCACTCCTGACTGCGCGCTGTGGGTTCAGACACATGTACAGTGACACACACCCACCAATACAGTGTCTCCCGGAGCAGCTTCCCTGCCTGAAACCCCGTGTCCACCGCCGCGTCCCTCCCCCACCCCCGCTCAACTCTTGCTCGGTTGCTAGTGTCTCGATGCACAAATACTTAAAATTTTCACGAAGTCCAGTTTATCTATTTTTTCTTGTTACTTGTGCTTTTGGTGTCACATGCAAGGTTTCAGTGCCACGTCCAGTGTCATGAAGCTTTTATTCTATGTTTTTTTCTAATGGTTTTAGCTCTTATGTTTAGTCCTCGATCCATTTCTCATTTGCACATATAGTATTCAATGAGAATCCAGCCGCCGCCTCTGCACGTGGACATCTAGCGGTCTCAGCACCGTTTCTTGGGGAGACTGCCCTCCCCGCATTGAGTGTTCTTGGCACCCTTGTCAAAAGCCACCTGACCACGTATGTGACGGTTTATTCCTGGCCCGTGTGCCTGTTCTCTGTCGTTTTATGCCAGCACGCACCACGTCAATTACTTTTGCTTCGTAGAAGGTTTTGCAATCAGGAAGCACGAGTCCTTCAGCTTTGTTCTTTTACGGGAGCGTTTTGGCTATTTGGGAGGCCCTTAAGATTCCACACAAATTTTAGGATACGTTTTTCTGTTTTGCAAAACACTGGCGTTCGAAAGGGATCACACTGACCGTGGGTCGCTTTGCGGCATCAGCCTCTTAACAGTTTGTCCCCAGCGATGGACGCGGGGCGCGTCCCGCCCGCTCACGCCACGACCGCGCTCTTCGCCGCCCGAGCGTTTCGTTTCTGGTGCCGTTGTGCGCGGTCGTTCTGCGGGTCCCCTTCCAGCGTGCATCGTGTGCAGAGATGCAGAGTTTTTACCTTGGTTTCGTGTCTTGTAACTCCGAGGAATTCATTTATTACCTCTAACAGCTTTTAAATTGAGTCCTTGAGATTTTCTGTATAGTCATGTTATTTACAAGCAGAGATCATTTTATTTCTTTGTTTCCAATTCAGACGCCTTTTCTTTCTGCCTAAGCGCCCCGGCTAGGACCCTAGGACCCCAGTGCAGTGGTGGGACCCGGCGCCCCGGCCTCGCTCCCGGCCTCAGGAGGAGCTTCAGCTGTCCGCCACTGAGTGCGATGTTCACTGTGGGTTTTTCACGTATGGCCTTTACCACGTGGAGGTCGTTTGTTTATATTCCTGTTCTGTTGAGTGTTTTTGTGA